CTCCCCAGCTATTTGACCAATATGCAGGCCAATGGATTGAAAAGTTTACTGTTGTGATGCCTAAGATACAGGCTGTGGTAATGTTGGGCATGGCAGTAGGAATCTGATCAAGGAAAGGCATGCTGGAGAGCTAAAAAGCCTCTCTGAATAGGTATCCAAGGCTTCTCCTTAGCTTCTGAGGCAGCCATTTCCTACCACTCTTCACTAAGTATTTTCCACTAGATAATTTTCTTTACTCCAAACCCTTTCTTTCAGTCCGTAGTAGATGTTTCCAAAGTGACAGGAAGTTCTCTAACCCTTAGCATTCCTTCTTCTCCAATGCCAGTTAAAGGCAATCTAAAAACCACGCATCACGTCTCTTACCTCTCATTTACTGTAATATCCTCCCACATGCTCTGACAAATCTTTTCAAAAAACTGCAGACTTTCTAGGCATTTTTACAAATTGGGAAATTGCAGTGTACAAGTTTCTCATTTCCTTTTTGAATGTCTCAAGTGACTTCCCTTTTCTACTTTATAAAGCAAGGTGATCTCATCTTCACCTTATGATGCTCCTTAAACTACTAAACCAAGCCTTTTTGTGTTTATATACTGCTAAGGCACTAACTTCCATTTCTATTCCAACAATACTAACTGCTCTTTCTCACACTTTCAAAAAACACACTGTGCTTTTTTCTATCCTGCTTGCTATTTTTGAAAAGACAGACAACGATGGGACTGTGTGTTTCAGTGTCTTCCTCCAAATCTCACCATGGAAGCCTTGACATCTTGAACAACTCATATAGTACGAGCTCTGGTAAAAGATTTTTCATAGCTATTACACTGATGTACCCTTTGTTCTCTTACTCTCTCCAAGTTTGTGACATTTTTGTGCATGCGCTGCTGTTGTCCTGCATGAGCAAAATAACCTAGCCACTGACCTAACATGAGCTGATATGATGTTGTGCTGTAAAAATGCATTTTGGCAAATCTCTGAGCCTGCTGTTCATTCAATTTCTTGCCCTCTAAGTTAGTTTGACATTTCTGGCAGCCAGTCTATCCGTCTTGAATTGTTTTGTATACACAGATAGGTATAATATCTGAAATAAAGCATAGCTGCATAACCTCATCTTCTTAGGCAGTAATTGCTGTCTTTCTAACTTAGGCCATACAGAGAAATCATAAAGAAATCGCATTGTGAAAATCTTGAACGTGGAAAACTGTTTTATACTTGCTGAACACCTAAGTTTTTTGTTAAGGAAGGTTTGCTCACACCACATTAAGTATGTGACCTGAAATCTGTCTTTTAATTACCTCAAGCAAAGCCAGACATTTGGAGCATTTCTCTAGCTTTGTTTTCCACCCATTCTTCTCAGCAGAAGTTGGGGAAATGCACTAAGCTACATACCAAACCGAGTGTAGTTGGATGCCCTCCTAAATGCATGGCCTGATAAGCCATTCACAGGTGTGATACAGCTTATTTAGTTTTCATAGCAACTTGAATAACTTCTTGCAGAGCAAGAAGAGATGGCAACAAAAAAGAGGCATGGGCTGGTTTTTGAAAAGCTATTTTTGAATGAACAGGGTGACATATGTCTGAGAGAGATCATTATTCCTGTCTCCTTTCAAAAACAGATTAAAACCACCTGGAGCGTCTTCACGCTTTGATGCCACTGTGGTCATTGCAGAACAGTGGAGCTTAAGCCTCGGGCCATGGAAAAGAATAAATGTAAGTAAATGGAGGGACATGGAAGAGGAAGCCCCACAGCCATAAAAGGACAGCAAAGAAAGGCATTCTGTTGCTAGTCAAAAGGTCTGCTAGAAAACAGTAAATGAAATCACATTCTGCATACAAATAACACATGAATATGCATTTGGCATCCACTGTTAGCGGGGGTGAGGGGGGTGTGTGAAAGATGTAATCTGAACGGTTTCAGCATCTAAGACATTATTTAGTATTATTGTTATTTCTTAACTTGGAATAGAAAATGCAGATAACCTATATGGAATTACTTGTCTCTCAAAGCACCCAAATCAAACATTCATGGACTCATTTAGTATCTTTTCATGCCCATGATTTCACATAATAGTTGTTTGTAATGGTTTTGAGACTAGCTAATATACTGGGTAACAAACCACTAGGGAAAGTCCTAGTGCAACTTTCGGTGAAAAAATCATAAATGCAATATGATTTGGTTTGACTCTACAGTCGAATAATACAACATCATTTTTAACTATCTCACATTTTCTTAAATGAGCGTATCAGCTTCTCTCACACACAGAGTAACGTGCCCTAATCATACACCCAGTCTTCTGTAAGCTGGCCGCTTAGAAAGACAGATCCTTTATAGTATGATACTGCCTGTTGCGGCAGGTCTTCCAACTTATTACATGAAGTTGGGTACAGGTTTTTCTTAAAGATAGAATATCTGAAAAGGTGGACCACTGAAACATCAGAAAGTGGAAGTCCTCAGGCTTCTATGAAAGCTTTCATGGAAGCTGAAGGCAAGGTTGAAAAACTGTCAACTCCGGATTTCTAACAGGGGAAATATCTACAAAGAGCTTTTTCCTATGGGCAACTTTTTATCTTTTACGAAGTTGGCCATATTACAAACTGGGGATATCTTGCAACAAAGTTGCACACCTGTAGTGAGTTGGTAGCAAATCCAGCCAGGTTGCTGGAGCAGAGCACACACACATCCCTTACAGCCAAGCCACCTCTGCTGGCTCCGAGGGCAAATACCAGAGCCATCCTCCTCTTACTTCCTCCCAGCCTTGGGGGATTGGCACATACCGTTCTAGCCAGGAACACTGTCTTTATTTTTTTTGCCAAGGTTATGGGTACTGACGTGGAGCCTTTTTTGGCCGTCCTGCAAGAGGTGTCTTTTAGATTCTTGAACGGGATAATGGAAAGAGTCAGTTCAGTCAACAAAACCAGAGTTAGAAGCCCTGGGTTAGATTATCATGATACTTTCAAATTACTTCAACCTATGATACTTAGGATTACATTCAAACAAGCTGATCTCTGGGACATGGACTTACAAGATTTGTTTTACAGAAACTGTGTGCACTCAGATCTTAGCGCATTCCAGTGTCTCTGAAGAGTCCAAATTGTTCTTAACATTCATGCCAAGTTATCAACAATTTAGAAAACAGTTGCCAAAGGTCATTCCAACTACAGCTGTTTGGAAACACAGAGGGGTTTATTGATCTTTTCCTTTGCATAGCACTTCAAAAAATATTAATACGTGGTGGAAATAAAGACCATGACAGATGTTGATCAAGACTTGGCCAAAGGTTTGGGGGGGGGAGGAGAGAGGGATTCATCAGGGTTGGGTTGAGGGTGAAAGACTTCACTGCAATGCTATTGTTAGGTCCTTGTGTGGTAATACCATTCTCATGATGTGCCTTTGACCTGGCACTGTACTTGTCTCTCAACAAATTAGGGAAGCTGGCTCAGCTGGTTGGGAAAGAGCTCATTAGGCATGGCAGTTCAGGTGGCACAAATTTCACAGCTCCAAAGCAATCTGGAGCCCTCCCAGAAATACAGGTATCATAGTCAAACAAATCACTAATCCCAGAGGCCAGCTCTGACTGCTTGTGTGAAGTACTGTGAATCATGATCTTTAGGAAAACTAAATGGCTCCTATCCAATTTAGCAGCTGGGCTGTATTAGTTCACATTTTTAAGGACAAAGGTTATAATAACAAGATCTTGTGTTACTCAAGTTACTCAATTAGGTAACATCGTTACCTTAATGGTTCTGTAATAGTTTGCTGGTGTTAGGAGCGATATAGTTTGTTTTTTCTAGGTAATACAAAAGGAGGGAATTCCATACACAAAGGCAGCCCAGTAGAAAACAGGCAGCTGGGATCAGAGACCGGGCAAAACAGGCACACTGGTGCGGAGAGGCAAGAGAGAATTACAACAGGCATCAATGCAGGAGACAGAGCCTGAGTCAGAGTACTTCAGGGTCTTGAAAGCACAAGCAAAAAGTTTAAACCTTATATACCAGGCAAAAGAAAACAACCCAAAAGACAAGTGTGTGTGTGTTAGTACACACATGCACATATGTAATGTATACAAGTTTATAGAGCTTAGGACTGGAATTTCCCCACCTACCCAACACTCCGCAACACTGTATTTTCTACGAAGTAACATTTGTGAATCTTGTAACAGGCTAACAAACAAGAAATTCATTTCAGCTTTTAGATCATTAAGGTTGCTCTTATTTATACTGTACAGATTTAGTTTACAAACTGTAAAAGCAGTTCAATGTTTTTTAAGGTACAAGCTATGATATCCATAGACCCGAACATTTCTAGAAAGCACTTGTCTTGATATGTCCAATATCCAGAATATTTAACAGCTGCTTTTTCTCACAAACAGATTCTACTTACTGGCAGAATGAGAGGGAGAAGGCTCGTGGGGTATTTTGAAGTGTGAAAAAAGGCTCTATCTTTGTTTTTTCCGAGACTGAACTTTCTTCCAATTCCTCACCCTGCTGCTCACACAGCTTGGGCCAACCAAAAGGCACACAGCCTTAGGAGCTGCCAAGAGCCCTTATCAAAGCTCGTAGCAGCTTCTCACGCCATTTATGGAGGCGCAAAGGCTTCCCCCCCACCCTGGGGAGCCGCAGCGCTCCCGGGAACCCTTTCCCCTCCTCGCCGGAAAGCCCCGGACGGCTGAAGCCGGTCTCCTCTCTGGCCCTTGATCTCTGGGGTTCATCCAGGCACTCGGGAGAAGGATTCAGTGACCTGCTCCACCCCTGCTCCCCCCGCCCCGGCAGCTCCGGGCGGCTCTCTGTCACACGAAAGGGGAGTGGGGGGGAATGAGCGGCGGCGGCGGCAGGAGGAGGAGGAGGAGGACGACGAGGAGGAGGGCAGGAGGGAGGGCAGGAGGGAGGGAGCGGAGGAGGGAGGGAACCGGGCAGGTGACACGGCGCTAGGTTGCTCC